CCGCCGTGTTCCTCTTGACGATTCGGCGATTGGAAGTCGCCTCAGGAAGTGAACCACGAAGGTGACGCTAACGAAAAATTGTACACAGCCGATCGGAAGCGATTGTGCTTTGAATTTTCGACGTCTCGTGTTCGTGATTTCGTACGCTTCCTCAATCCTCTTCATGAATAATTAGGACACACGCAGATGAGTTTACATGCGGAATAACTAGCGTTTTGTTTTTATTGTTATGCGTACATTATGCCGCGAACTGAATTTAAATGCCAAAATGATATTTTAGTTGTTACTGCTGCTCTGCCCGTACCGGTCGATGATGTGCGCGTGCGACACACTTTTTCTGTCACAACAGAACGTGTCACGTACTGAGTTTTCATAGACGATGTTAACATTATACACGTCTTCGATTCCTAATTCAATGCATACAAAAACTGGATTTTTAATTAAAACGCATGTCGATTCGTGTCGGACAGACGTGAATAAGTAAAATAAACTTGTCCATTGACGGCGATGCGTTAATGCAATGTGTGTTTGTATAACGGCACATGCAGCAGTTTAAAATAATACAGTGGTAATGAATAGCAAAACGTTGAGTACGACCGGCGGCACGGGCGCAGGAAGGCTCGTGGGTGAAGCAAACTGTACGGACGCCGTGCCGGTGTTGGTTTCACTGGCCAGCCTTGAGGCTACTCTGTTTGCACAATGCATGTTGTTCATGATCACTACATTTGTTCTTATATTTAGTACTATGTACCCAATTTATACTAATCTATCACTTACCCTCAGTTATAGAAGTTAGTAACTAATTCATCAAACATTATTTAATCAACGCGCAACATGTAAAAAGTTTTACTTTCTTAAACAAAAGAAAAATGAATACATTTCTGTATTGTTTGACTGTCTATGTTTAATATTGCACATAGTATTGTTGTTTTTAAGATTTGGTTAATTCAATCCTGGAAGATGTTAAGTCTTAAATTGTCTTTTAAGGATAAATAAAAGTACATCATTTAGTACATCAATGAATAGAATATTATATTGTGATTTCAGCCTTATATTAAATGCAGTGTTCATGTTATTCGTTGTGTTAAAAGGAACTAGTTAGTTTTATTTACATAATCGCGTGTAATTAGATGGATTTGAAATGACTTATGAGATATCTAAACGGCATTAAATCTGAGGCGGAAGTTTGTAGTTCATTGTTACATTCATACGAATGCATAGGTCAAGGACATTTCGCCCTCGAGTTCGGAGTTACGACCCGTATCCTTACTTCCTTTGTTTGTTTACATCTGCCTACATTAAAATTGTATTACATTATTCGAAGTTTTTTATTCATTTCTTGCAAAGGCCGCGAAGTCGACAACTCATGTTTAGTGTAAAGCCGCATTTCCGAAAACATGTGTGTTTGTATGCAACGATTGTCAACATCGGCTATTGTACGCAATGAGTGTAAGCGGCTATTGGAACAAACAAACGCCTCTAATATCGAAATATTTTGCTTGCATTCTTAATCTTCCAATGCTTTCCCACTACTTGGTATATAAACATCTGTTTTACATTGTTTTTCAACCGTAACAATAAATTGAAGTAAAATTTTTACTTTTATTTCTAGACTAAAATCTTATGTTGATTATGAGCTATATTTTCAATTACTCTTTACAATCTGAATCTTCATCGATTCTTAGCGGAGTAATAATTGTGTAATTAGTGTAGGTAACCTTGCATTATTACGTGCTAATAACAATAGAAGAAGTACACAAGTGACTATCCGTCTCGTTTCTTTAAACTATTATTATCATCAATTCCATTTTGATGTAAAGTTTCGTTATTGTACGAGTATATCTAGGCGGCGATATTGAGATCGGGCACAGCTGATTAAGTACAGCGATAATTTTATTGTCATTAATTTGATAATCAACAATAGTTGTATTTTGTATATCGCACAGATTCAACACGTAAATCGTTTTAGTTGTGAAATGTATTTTTTGTTATTGTGACATAAATGCGGCGTAAAAGTGTGATTTTAATAAAATAATAATCAGTATTATGATAACTAAAGTGAAATTTTGTGTCATGACGCTCCTTGCTGTCATTTGTGAAAATAATCATGAATACGGAATACATCATTGAATTCGAGAAGCGTCCCGCAACGAAAAAGAAGTAATGAGGCGTTTCAATACTTTTCTACACTAGAACGTATAATACGAATTTGTTTAATATAGCATCAATTGCTTTTGCTTCACTTTCACTGTGCCGATGATTCGGGTGCCATGTCGTGACGTCTCTGAGCTCAGCGTCGAAATGAGTTTTTTTTTTATCTAGCCAGCCACTCAATTCGCTTTCTAAGCGAATCATGTGTGCACGTTAATCCGTGTTGACATTGAATATAATTTATTCTATCGATTAATAACGATATTAACGTTGTTGACAGTTACAGAGCTGTGTAAATTGCAGCTCATTGTTTCAAACACGTGCCTGAATCGATGGAATCGACTTCGCCCTTATCACGGCACCGAGCTGAGGTCGTCTCTTGCGAAAGAACAATACGACAGGTTTTATGATTTGTTTTTACTTTTTGCGCGCGCGCATGCTCGCCGCGCAGACCTTCCTTACAATTACTCCGGCGGATGTTTTCAAACTAAACATTTTAAAGTTCTTTCATCCATTCGATGTTGTAAATATTTATCTTTTTTTTATGTACATAAATAATGTAATAAAATTGTCGTATTACTAAGGCCTTGTCTGAGGCTTTCTAATGCATATTAATCTTATTAGGTAAAATGCTATCAAAAGAAAAAGAAGCCAATTGATCTTACTTGCAGTTAATTGATTACTACATTGAATTAAACTTTAATTTTTTGTATAATAGTTCTTGTGGCGATAGAGTTAACAACGATATTTTATAGTAAAATAATCTAATGTAAGCCATTGGTAAGTTATTGCTCGACAGTATTTGCTATTCCAATTTAAATTCTTCTTTAAAACATAACCTCAATAGTAACACACTAATAGCATTGCAATTGATACGAGGAAAAAAGTACAATGAACACAAACACAAGCTAGCTGACACTTGAATGTGATATTGTCACTTTTGCTCACTGATATATCTAGATCATTATTGTTCATAACCCGAATGGGATAGACAGATAGTAATAGCACTTTTACTAAGGTGGTCAGTCTCAAATGATACTTTGATTTCGATAATTCAATTAATACATTGGTCTGATAGAAATTAAACATACTTCTAAAACAGAGGCGTGATACTAATTATTATTAGTGAGTATGTACATACTATATGCCTGGAACAAACGTACATTATTGAAGCACACGTGCTAAAATGTAATGTTTTGAGTTACGTAGTCCTATATATTTGCACTTCAGCAAAACACCCAATCATCTAGTGGTGCACCGCCGAGACGAGCACGGCCAAACACTCTTTTCTTGAAGCGTTTCATGGCAGTTGACACCCCTGTTAGTTTTTAACTGAAGACAAATCTGTCGTCGGCAACCCTATTCAAAACGAAAACGAAATCGCTTGTTTAGTTAATTATTCGCAATCTAGTACGAAATGAGTGCTCGAGTTAAGTCGAAACTGGTGAGTGCGAGAGAGAAAGTAGCTGACTGTTTTTGTTTTTAACCGGAACGCGTGTGCGTCGATTATGTTTTTGTAATTAAAGTTTTACATAATATTTAATCGCTAAGTAATTTTTTTAATCTATACTAATATAAAGAGGAAAGATTTGTATTTTTGTGTGTATTGAAATAACTCAAAAACTACTGGGCCGATTTCAATAATTCTTTTACCATTAAAAAGCTATGTTATCAGTGAGTAACATAGGCTATGTTTTTGTTGTTTTTTTTAATTTCACGCGCACAAAGTGCCTTCATTAGCTAGTTACAAAATAATTCTGCGCACTTCTGTATGGCTTTGTTATATTTTTCACTTATGATACATTTATATGTGAGGGACGATTTGGATTTAGACTTTGATTCATATCAGAGTAGCTCTCGGCGGCCATTCGACGACGAACATCATACCTTTTATATGAACAACAAGCGACAATTATGCTTAACGATCCATTGTGGCCTTTCTTATTCGTCGTGACATGGCTTTGGGTAACCAAATATCGTGATTTAATTATACTTCCTTTTTTAAAATGTAAACAAACTATTGTAAAGATACATGCGAAATATTCCTACTACTTTTTGTAATTCTATTTATGTAATTTAGCTATTATTTGTACGTGTCATGAAATTTTTAGGCAATTAAGCGGTTTTTTTCCTAATCTGTGTAGTTATCTAAATTATTTAGCCAAATAATTATTACAAAATACGAGAGGGTCTCTACTGTTGTAACCATTTTATTCCAAAACATACACTAGCTAAGTTATTAACCTAACCCATTAGTAAATTTTTATTTATTTTTATTTGGGTACACCGGTAGAGGTACACCTAGAGAGAGATGGATGGATTGCGTGAAAGGTGACATGATCAAGAAGGGAGTGATGACTGAGATGACGGATGATAGGTATTTGGAGGATGAAAATCCGGCGCACTGACCCTACGGGAGTAGCATAAGGCAGGGAAGATGATGATGG